CAAATGGTATCCACCCACCCCTCCGGTACCCAAAGCGCCGCCTCCTCTCCCAGGGCTGGGGGGACAGTCGCCAGCAGCCACAGTCCCTTCTGCCCCCCAAATAAACCAGGATCCTGGAGCACCCTCCAGTCCACTCTTGATCCCCGCCACGGCTGCAGCAGTAGTAGTAGGGCTTTTATCCTCACTTCTTGTCCAGAGGGCAAACGTTCTCCCCTGTGCCCTACGGGCAGGCGGCCGGGTTGGTGGTTTAACCCCCCCTCTCCCCCTCCCCTCCCAGCACGCTGAGGCCGGGAGACATGGAACGGCGGCTGTCCGTCGAGGTTTGGGATTGGGACCGCACCTCGCGCAACGACTTCATGGGCGCCATGTCCTTCGGCGTGTCGGAGCTGCTCAAGGCACACGTGGACGGATGGGGGCGTCTGGGGGGGAAGCCAGGCCCACGGCTCACTCTCGCTCTCTCTCTCCACCGTTCTGTCTGTTTGGGTATTTGTCTGCGCCTGTCGGCTGTGCCCGGCTGCCACGGCGCTGCCACGTCCCCGTGCTCCCCCCACATGCGGTTCTTGCACTCTCGCCTTTCCACGTGCTTCCCCTCTGCGCTCGTGCCTTTCGTCCTCTCTGCACGGTCATCCTATTGCCTTGCCTACTTGCACGCCTGGTTTCTTTCTTTGCACGTCTTGCACTTTTCTTTGCACACTCACTTTTTTCTTTGCACTTTTAATTTCTTTGCACATATTCACTTTTTCTTACTTTTCTTTACACACTTTCACTTTCTCTTTGCACGCCTTTCTTTGCACGTTCACTTTTTTCTTTGCACCTTCCTTTGTCTTTTTTACACTTTGCACTATTGCCTTTGCTTTCTTTCTTTCTTTCTTTCTTTCTTTCTTTCTTTCTTTCTTTCTTTCTTTCTCCTTGCCCCCCTCCCCCCTCCCCCGGTGTCGTGCCTGTCTCTGTCCCTGTCTCAGGTACAAGTTACTCAACCAGGAGGAGGGGGAGTATTACAATGTCCCCGTGGCTGATGCTGAAAATTGTGGGCTCCTGCAGAAATTTGAGGTAACCCCGCCCCCGCTCCCCAGAAGCTCTCCTGTTCGTGCCCGGAGTTACTGGCAGGCAGAGGGAGAAATTGCCATGTGCCGTAGGAGACGCGCTGGCTCCCAGTGTGGCTCTAGGGGGCACTGTGCTACAGGGGGCAGGCCAGGGGGTGCTGTGCTCCGGGGGGGGGGGTCACACGGGGGCTTGGCCAGGACACTCTGCCCCAGGGACTCTGCGGAGTTGGGCGTGAACCCCAGTGTCCTGGCCACGGTGCCCCAGGACAGATTCCCAGTCGGGTCCCCCAGCCCCCTCGTCCCCAGTAGCTGTGGGGTCCGCTGGGCTGGGGGCCGCAGCGTTGGGTCACTGACCCCCACCTTCTCTCTTGCAGGCCTGTAACTACCCCCTGGAGCTGTACCAGGTAACACCCACGGCCCCTGTGCACTGGGGCAGGGCCTGGGTTCCCCCTCCCCCCAGCAGAGGGCAGTGAAGAGCATCGAGGCAACACCAATGGGGGGGGGCAGTGAGTTGTGGGGGGGCAGGACTCCTGGGTTCTCTCGCTCGCTCTGGGAGAAGAGTTGGGGTCTAGTGG